CGATGGATAAGGTTTGTAGAGACTGCAAAGTGGGGAGGGGTTTCAGATTACTGTGACAATGATTGTGTTTGTGTAGCGTCGTGACCTGTCTCTAAAGAAATCCAACTGTTGTTGGCACATGGAACATCAAAGACGCAGCCAGTTCAACAACGAGTTAAGTCTCAATTGTAATATACAAATTACGACTCAGAAATGGCTGTCTTTTGCGTTGCAGCGCTGTGCAGTTTGGTAGAAGTTTGCGGACGTTTCATAGGTGTCTGCTCCCTTCATCTTCAGAGGAACTGATATTCCAGAATACACGGCGAAAGAACGCAGAAGACAGCCATCTTCAGAGTCGCCACAATTATAACTTGAAATCTTATAAATTGCGATACATCAGTTTGTTTAAACATTTTCTCGCCATTTAGTGATTTATGTTAATTTTTTATTGCTTCTTTAATAAATTAAAGTATATAACTAAGAGATTTAATTAATTTAAACTGCATTTGAAGAGGTTATTTAATTATAAGGCATCCCAGTTATAATGTATTTTTAAAATAATTGGTATCTGTACTTACCGTCATTTACAATTGAATATGTTATATTCCAAATTATGAATTACTTTTAGCCTTAAATGCCTGTCTGTTTCTCTTCTCCTACATAAAACCTTAAACATTAAAATACAATGGAAGTCACGTTTCGCCCTAAAGAAAGCATACAGTTTGATGGTCTTTGAGAACAGGTTGCTGAAGAAAATATCTGGTCCTAAGAGGGAGGAAGTGTCAGGAATATAGAGAAAATTATCAAAAGAGGAGCTTCATATTTATTGATCTTTAACAGATATTATTCCGGTGATAAAATAAAAGATAGCTAGATGGCCGGACATGTAGCATGCACGAAAACCTCAAGAAATGTGTACAAAATTTTTGTCGAAAAATCTAATAAGAGGAGTAACAGTTAGAAGGTCTGGGCACAGGTGAGATGATAATATTAACTGATATTAAAGAAATAGAGAATAAAAGTGTGACTGAGAACGGAAAATTGCAAATTGTATCAATGATATCAAGAAATTGCTGTTAATAACAAGCTATAAATAATACAGGAAGTGATTTTTATCCAGAAAAATTAATTATTCACTTTAGAAACCGGAATTTCAATTTGTAAATTTCCTACTCCTGAAAACGTCCTGTGTTTTGGTCTGAATATTCTGTCACTTAAATTTATTTTGGTCCCTTGGCCTGCTATTCATTTACACCACTTACGTTCTCAACGTGTCGTGTCTGATGGGAAAGTTTCATTTCCTGGTTAGAGTTTAACCTCGAACAGGGGTAAACGTTACAATAACAAAACTACAAATGTTTCTTATTTGTGTCCGATGTTTTCGTGTTTCCCCCCAATCCTCTTTGACGATGTTGCAATTCTGTGACATATGACGTTTCGAGAAGCTGATGAAAGCAGCTTTTAACGGCGCTTATTTAAGGAGAAGACAATTCTTACAAAAAGCGTTACAAGTAGCGAAATCTTGAGTGTAAGTGATTATTGTAATTTTCGTCAAATTATAGATTTCTTTCTGCATCAAAACCAAGTTAAAATAATTAAGTAATAAATAGGACCACCCCTTGTCGAACCGTAACCTGAGGACGCGCCATGCCGTGCTGACAATGGACCCACCTAACATGGCAGAGCATGCCTTACTCGAAACTATTCCAGTTGCTGTGTGAAAGATAAAATATGCAAAGTCACAAGCTTATCTTAAAACTTGATCTGTCGCAGGGACCATCAACTGGCTGCCTGCTTTTGTGCTCTTTGCAGCAACTGTCTCTGTCCAATAAGAAGACCGAAAGGGCAATAATTAAGACGCGTCTTAATAATGAGCACTCGGAGCGAAGCGTAACAATAGAAATTAAAATTGATAGCAAAAAATTACTGAATTATAAACAGTGTCAAATGTCTCACTAATGATTAATTTTTGTTAAAGAAAATTATTGATTAATTTTTGAACTCGTGTGTTTTATTTAAGTTTTTCACAGCGGCGAGTATGAAGATTTCTGTCTTCTGGGTTGTTGTGCTGTGTAGTATGGTCGATGCTAACCAACATTTCTGGGTCATACTGTCTCCGTCATCAGGGATATTCATCGCCCCGATGACGGAGGCCGTATGACCTCTGAAACGTTAGTAAACATCGACCAGACTACACAGCGCAACAACTCAGAAGACAGAAATCTTCATACTCATCGCCCTGATGACGGAGGCAGTATGACCTCTGAAATGTTGGTTAGCATCGACCATACTACACAGCACAACAACCCAGAAGACAGAAATCTTCATGTGTTTTAGTAGATTTAATTTAGTAGCATTTCTAATTAATTGTCATGGCGTTTCAAAAAAATTGTTTTCTTGTATAATCTTTCGACCCGTGGGCCGATAAGAAATGTTGAATGTATCTCCTGGGATACTGGGAACGACCCGTTTTTCAAGTGCCTGAGCACTGCGGGTCCGAAATTTTCGTTGGCTTGATCTATAGACATTTGGTGGACTCCTTGGACGAGGGATCGGCTCGTCGCAAGGCCTCTACCTGTGCACAGGACAGCACAACACAGAAAAACGCAGACAAATATCCATGGCTTGAGTGGGATTCGAACCCACGGTTCCAGCGACCAAGTGGCACAAGGCCCACTCCTCAGACCGCGCCGCCACTGCGGACCCCGAATGTATCTCCAGGTCTGGAAAATCTGATAAACCTTGCACTAAAAGAAGAACGTTGGCTGAGTGCGGTTTGAGAGCAGGGTGTTGAGGAGAATGTTTGGACCTTCGTGAAAGAAGGTAACACGAGGATGGAGAATACACACAGTGAGAAATTTCATATCTCCAATATTTGCCAAGTTTTATTGGGGGTATCAAATGAGGAATGATAAGATTGACGGGTATGTAGCACGCATAGAGGAGATTAGAAATATGTAATTAAATTCGGCGGTAAACCTGATTAGAACAGATTTCATTGAAGACCTGGGCCTGGCCTGGTGAATGACATTATTTTAATTGGGGTTATGAATTAGATTTGTCTAGTCCAGCATAGGGTCCAGTGGCATGTTATTGCAAATACATTAATAAACCGCTAGTTTCCATAAAACGTTGCTTATTTCTTGACTGCTTAGCAATTATAAGATTGTCAAAAAAAAATTCTGTGGAGTTGCTTGTACGATGGCCATGGTATTTCTGAGGTGTATGTGTATCATGAAAGCGGTTGTGATACGCCACTGAGGTGTCTGTTACATCCAACGTTTCAAAGCCAATTTTAATTAAATCATTTATCCTTTTCATACGAATACAATACGACGCTTTTATGTTACTTAATGACCCATCTGTTTGCCTGTCACAGATAGCACAACAAGCTAATAACTGCCTATAATATATGAATAGCCCATTTATCTCTACTCCCTTCAGTAGATACGGAGTACAGCGCCGTTTGAAAACATCGGAGAAATTTGTGTTATGTAAAATGTTTCCCTTAACCACCGTTTTCATTCACGAGTGTGCTCAAAGATTATGATCTGATTACCCAAACATTTGCGTTGACATTGTGCGCTCTTATTATTCGCGCGTCGCTTAGCAGTTAAGCTGTTAGAAATGGTAAAACGTTTCACTATATTCTCGGACAATAAATCGTTTCATGCTATATGTATTGAAACAAACTCCAACTTTTCTTTGGAAAATTTTATTGTATTATTTACTAGAAAAAACGCCGGAGGATAAGGTAGTCATTGAAGTAATGTTTATTGTGTATATATATTGTCATAGTCTTATGAACATAATACAGACTTTGTTAAAAGAAAAGTAGTTGCTGAAGACAAAAATTGTGACCAAACTTAGGCGGCATTTACTATTATGCTTATTTACCGCCGTATTCCCGCTTAGATGTCAGTTATTACATTGAACTTGTTACACTTCTTTTTACAATAAATTATTCGCGGTTGCCCGACAACAGGTCCAGAGACGGAGAAACTGAGACAAATGGAGGAATGGGTACCTGTTTTATGTTCCTTTCGCTAAGCCTAAAGTTTGTAGAATGATTACCAAAAAAGTGGCTGGAAGTATAACGCAAATAAAGGATTTGGTTATAATGCCTATAGATGTAAGGATAGAAGTGAGCAAATGCCTACAACGCCATTTTATCGAACTTCGCATCCTCTACATCTTCATATTTTCGAGGTCTTAAATTCAGATCTTGGCCCGGTGACCTGCTGTGCTGACATGCTATAAATATTTTCCTCAGACTCTCAAGGCAAATTTTGTGATAGTACCTAAAATTAGTTACGTCTGCTTCCTGCCATATCCATTCGAATTTATTATTTATTAATCATTTCATCATTCAATGTTATAGGCTGCAGAGACCAGTCTTAGCTACTGACAGTGCTGTTAAATAAATTGAAAATAAATATAAATAAACATGCTGTAAATTACGGCATCAAAAGTTCAGGTTCGTATTTTTTGAACAGAACACATCTAGAATATGACGTCAGATACAATCACCTGAAAAACACAAGTAGACTAATTTTCGTGTTTTTATTAATCTGCAATATTAATATAAAGCACACATTAAAGTGAGGAATTTCCACCTATTTCAAAATAGTTTATTTAATATATGACTTGTCTGGTCTAGCAATAAACCTATTATAGTAAATTTACTATAACACGATTTTAAATAAATTTAATATTGGAGAGTTTTGCGAAAAATTGTCAAACCATTGAATTTTTTATATCGGCTAATTATAACGATTACGTCACAAAATAACAAATATTTTTTGAGATTATATGAAATACTTCCGAAAAAGTAACAAAACCTGATTTTTTTAGTTTCCGTAGATGAACATGAAAGTAAGTAGCACAAGTAGATTTTAGATAAAGGTTAATTACATTATTAATCAATTAAAATTGATCTGTATGATGAGAGATGACATCATGAACGTTTCAGTTGTGTTTTTGACCTCTGGCGACGTCTTAAGAAAACACATTGTACTTACCGGTTATACATGAACCTCCCGAACTGAACGATGTTTTAAGCTGTGGAAACCCTGAAACAAATCAGAGATAATAATTTTTAATGAATATTATTTCACCAGAATTCTTCTTTGCGGAAGCAGCAGGACCCAAACATTTCTCTCACAGTCCATAAGCTTATAAGCTAAATCTATCAGAGACTGTGGAAATAATACGTATGTTATATTTTTCCTTACCCGAAATTGTGTAGAAATCGTAAGAGTTAAACATAAAATTTAGTGACGTCGAAATGCCCCATATTTTGTTCTTCTTCGAGTTCTTTCCTTGTATATTTCTATTCCTGAATTTATTTTTGAAAAGTCCAGCAGATGTCCTAGCAGCCGATACATTATATCTAATAATATGTTATACATGTATATGTGTATAGTAATTACGCTAGATGGCAAAATATTTTATTTTGCAAATGGTGCTACCATTAGGTTGCTTTTAGAAGTACGTATTATATGGGTAAAGGGAACGTCGAGGTAGTCCTAACTTACTACGTACCACAGCTGAAATTTTTCATTGTTCTGTGTTGAAAGGGATGAGAAAGGAATGCGTGTGAAAGAAGGGAAGGAGATGAAGGGATGAACAAGACAAAAAAATCGAAAGGTGATAAGGGATGAAGATTCGAAATAAATCCTCCCTCGAATGCCATCGAGTCTTTCCACTACATGGTTCATAATGAATGAACGGATGACTGATCAAGAGGTAAAATAATTTTGTAGCAAAACTATTAATGTTAAAATTTATGGTAATTGTTTTGAAATATAAATTCAAAACGATTTTAAGAAATCTGATCGAGGTATATTTTTGAGCTTTAATTAATATTAAGATAGCTAAGGGTTCTGACATGTTTCTAACTTTGCGTTCGCGTACGATGTCTAAATTAATGCGTGACTTTTTTTATTGACTACTGATCACTCGACTTTGTCTCTTACGTCTTACGAAATATGTCCTTCTCGGGTCGCCTACAACCAATAGACTCCACGGCTTAGTATTCACTCAGGACATATTACAAATGCGGTAGCAGAACTTCACTTTACCTGTACGTGGTCACAGAGTTAAATTAGGAGACACACAAAAATTTCCAATTAAAATTAGTGTCGGAACGCCTAGTTTCGAATAGTCTAATATTTTTATCATACTACAGCGAGTACGAAGCATTTCTTTTCAATTTTGTTTACTGTAAGCTGTCCTCTCGGACAGTTCTTTTGTACAGATGCCCGCTCTCAGGCATACACAGAGATAGTTCCAACTCTTTATAGGTGGAATCCATCGTCAGCAGAAACTAATAAGAGGATGAATCTGTAAGCACGCTAATCTCCTTTCCCTGATCGAGTGGCAGAGTGCGGAAAAGCGGCATATGTCACTTTTGTCGCTCGTGTTTAAGAAATATTTCATACTTACAGCAGAAAATCTAAATGGTTTTAGCAGATGTCGCCGTTACCAGCAGGGACTCATATTTCGAAGTAACAAAGCTTCGACAAGTGAATGTTTGAATATGTGCATGGTAATAAATGTGTAAGTCTTTAGAATGTTAAATTCATATGCTAGGCTTGGAGTGATAAGGTTCTAACTGACCATTTACAGATTTTTAGAAAAATAACTTCAAAGTTTTAGGTTTTTTATCTTGTATAATTTACTTTTATTTCAAACTTGGCATTGTTACTGGAGGCAATGTTTAGTTATGCACCAGCATTAAACGTGGTAGTCATGTTAAAGTTTGCAACATGCATTTCTTTCGTATTGGTCTGAGGCAACATTTTAGGGGAGAATAAACTTTCTTGTAATATTCTTAGAAAAATAACCTTTTGGAAAGCCACAAAGTATCCTGTACTCTCCCAATTTTATGCCAGGAAGAAATTACCACCATCATTGTCTGTACTTATTTATGTTTTTAACGTTTATAATCATAATAAATAAATTTAAGAACCGAAATTAACATCCGTTTTTTGTAAACCTTGTGTTTTGAAGCTGAAGTAAAGTTTATTTTGTGACCGGTTTAGCGTCACGCTACGTCCGGTTTAGTCCGGAGAAGTAGCTTTTATACCCACTTACTAAGAGCAGAAATTACCATAGCCAAGCGTGTCCTTGCAAACAGAAAATTGTTTAGATACAAAGAAGGAATGTCACGTTGTCGGAAGATGGGACATGAGCTGCTTTTGCCGGTATCTGAGACTGGCCACGAGGGCTCCCCCATTCTGCCAAATGTTTGGGATTAATAAAAGACAGTTGGGAAAACCGTACTGCCTCCAGCCTACTTAGAAAACCGAACGGAGAGAAAACTCATTTCGAATTTCGAACGTCGAAGCCGATTAGCGTCCGTTTACTCCAGTAGCAGCTTTATCCCCTGCTCAAAGCACGCAACCAATCATTACTGCTCTTTTAAAAATATATTGCATGAAGAAAGAGTCTTTTGAAGTTTCAAATGTATTTCATTTCATTTAAAGTCTCAATAATAATAATTACGATGTTTATGATTATGATGATGAGAAAGTTAAATTTGCCTCCCTCAACTTAATTAAGCATTACACCATGAAGACGTGTGTGGGAGTGAAGGTAATAGCTCCATTTGTTCTTAATATCTATGCTAAATACTCCTCCAGATTTATCCCAGGTGATAGAGCCCTCGTTGTTCAATGGATAGGATGCTGGGGGACGAGGGACAGAGCCTGTCTGGACGCCGTGCCTCTATCGGTAATCGAACTCCGGTTGTCTTGCCCGTAACCAGATAATTTTGTAACTGAGCTATCTCGGCTCACAATGACGGTATGCCTTGATGACGGTAACATTTTAAGACACTCATACCAGATGTTACTCTGGCATGTAGATATATAAGCTTCTGATATATGACTGTCTATAGACTTTGGTAATATTTAGCTTGAAGGAGGAAGCTTCAGTCTTAAGCTGTGAACGTGAGGTGTGTCCACTCAGCTGGGTCTGTAAGACAGAGCTACCCGAATCATTGGATAAGTTGACGAAATGCCTTTTTCTGTTAGGATACTAGACGATGGACAAAGTTCAGAAGTTCAGTAATACTAACAATAGTTTATTTATTAATTCCTGTGTCTCTACAAACAGTCTATAGAAACCTATAGCCTAACTTTGCCTCTCGCTTTCCGCTGGTGTGAAACTTGGTCTAGGTTCCTCAAGGAAGAGCGAACGTGGATTGGAGGTGCTGAGAACAAGCAGTGAGAATATTCTAATTTAAGTGAGAGAAGGTGGTAGGAGGCTGGGAAGTATTACATAAAGGTACAATTTGGCTGCACGCGACCGAGGCAGGCGACAGAATTACGAGACCGAGACTGGTCGCTTCCCGTCTGTTCACTGTACAATCGTATGAAGTACAATTACGCGCGCGAGACAAAGACAGGCGACAGAGACAAAGCACAGGAGACCGCTCTCGGACCAGTAGTGTCTCGCGACGGGCTCAGGCAGCACGTGTGTTGTTGAGTAAAATAATGGCAGAAATTAAATTTACTGGTGACCAAGATGAGCAATTGGTAGAATTAGTAGCAGAAAACCGACCACTGACCACCGACAGAAAGATCCTTCTTCGCGTCTGGTTTTGAATATTGAACTCATAGGTTTTCTTTGTTTCTTTCGCAACAAATAACACAGCAACACATCATCTTCTTCTTATTCTTCGAGTAACCTTTTTAGAAGCATTTTTGTACTCATTTTTCACAGAATATGTGCACGTATGTCTCAACAAAACAAAGAAAACAAACACTTTGCCGCATGTCTCGGTCGTCACCTCAAAAGTGTGTGGCGACAAGCTGCGATGTGTCCGTCTCCCGTCTCTGTCGCCTGCCTCGGTCGCTTGTCTCTGTCGCGTGCAGCCAAAGTGTACCTTAATGAGGAACTTCATGCGCTGTACTTTCCCTCTGATGTTGTAACGATAACTAAATTAAGAAATATGATATGGGTGTTACATGTAGCATGCGTTGTTGGGGATAATAAATTCATAAGCGGCATTGGTCAGAAAATCTGAAGGGAACAGACCGCTTGGAAGACATGCATAAATGGAATAATAATATTAAACAAATTATAAAAATTAAGCTTAAATGTGTGAGCTGGATTTAACTGGCTCATGGTAGAGTGAAAGGGATGAATCTATGAACTGTGCGATGAACTCAGTAACTATAGATTTGTTAAGAAAATCTTGTATCATAAATTTAGTTTGACTTATGTAGTCGTTCGTTAATAATTAATTCCTTCATTAAAACTTCAGAAGTATTTGTGGTACAGAAACACGGTGACGTGGCGTTCGCCTTGCTTGTACCGCGGACAGCATGAGTTTTCTGGACTTGTCAAAGACAAAAAACCATATTCAGCTCTGAGACAGCTTTATCGGGAATCTGTTAGGCAGTGTAGCGGCCCTCACGAGAAATTCAATCTGGTCTCATTATTCGTCTGTAATTTCTTTCTTTCCGGATTCCTGAAGCTTCCTCCCCCCCTTTGTTCCCTCGTCATTCCGTCTCCTTTGTGTGAAGCTCAAAAACCTATTTCTCCGTTTTCTCTTCATCTAATTTTTTTTCTTGTCATTGATCACTAATTTTCCTTTTAACTGAAAGTATCCCTCGTTTTGTGCGTTTAAGTCTGATTTCCTACCGTCCCCTAATTTAATTTTATATTTTTGTGAAGCTGCCTTGACGACTCCTGCGTGTGATTATCTGTAATACAATTTTTGTTACGATACTTGGAAACGTCCGCTCATTAAAATGTGAAGGAACGAATGTATTGTGTTACATATTGCGAAACATAAGAGTAGCGAGTTAATAATAAGGCCTATGTAGAAGTGGTTGTGGCCTGTTTAAAGTATAATCATATTAGCCTACCATTTTATGTCGCAAATGAACAAAAATACTTTAAACTACTGTCAAAAAGAGAAAAAGCTGGTGGATTGCTACTCCATTTTCAACTATTTTAAAATTTTAAGTTAAGTCTCCATCATAGGAAAATTACTTGCGCATGCTTGGTGTACAAGCACTGTAGATTACCAGTACACGCTGTCAACAAAAGCTGGGGTCAGTCGTTCTATTCCTGACAGATGGGTGTGTTGTTAGCTTTGAATTTGGGGGGGGGGGGTGTATTTTAAAGTGCTACAACAAGTTGCATTGTCCTCATTAGTCCCGCCATCAGCTCCCAGTACACACTGCTTTGCATGTATGTATCCTATTCAGGAGATTCGCATAGTTACTACATACCACGATGGGTGTTGCAAAAGCTAAATTTTTACCCGCGGTTCATATAGCCACAATGACCACAGTTGGTGTCATATACTAAGTGCTCTCTTGCAGCAAAACAGGTCTGCTCCGTGTTTTCGGTTTTTCAGAAGATAATTGAAAAAAAAATTGTACCTTGCATGAAAAGTGACGTAATTCCAACGACTCCCATTAGGAGCACAGTAAAACCGGATGATTTTTGTGCTAGAGTTCCATTCCACAGTATCTGTGACCTCTGTTCAAATGGGATTTTGGAGGAAGTTTCATGAAAATCACTCATTAACCGCAGTTATATTATATTTTGGTACTGGCTCAAATGATTTGTTACATACATGGTTATTGTGAGCTAATAAAAACTG